AAAGGCTATAAAAGATAGTTATAGCATAAAAGTGATATTTAATTTACCTGTTTGAATTATAGTAACCTTTTAGTCCACATCTTTCTATACAAAGTCACTAAAAATTAAGGCCACCAACCTTTTATTTTTATATAGTAAGGGGCTTCACTTCCAATGCTAAGACTACCTAATGTCCCTGGAGCACGAAAGTAATTTACAACATTTACTGATAACATATCATTTATAGAGCAGACAGACATTAGACAGAATATTTTTATCATTGAAAATGAGTATTTTTGAACTTTTCATTGCTGTTCCTCATATATTTGAATGTAGTTGGAGAAATGAACTGATAGTTAATAGTTTGGAAAGTACAGTAACACTCCAACAATATGTACAAGTTTTTAAGGAGGCTGTGTTGACAGCTAGACATGGATCTTTACAAAAGTTAATAAATAAGTGGAGAGCAGAAATACAGAGCCAGTTTACAATTGTTATTACATTTGTCTCAAATACTCATGATAGCCAGGGCTTGAAAAATTCACTAGAACATAGTACTTCCACTTGCAAGAGAAGGTTATCTCATTACATTTTGCAAGAGCTATGTTTCTAGTCCTTATGTTTTGGAACATACTCTGCTGCACCAAAGGAAGGCTGGAAAAACTTAAAATACAACTAATAGTCTATCAGTACCTTAAAGACTAACAAAACATGTAAATGTTCATCTGTTTGCACTTGGATAGAAAGATGACATCTGTTTGGATCTGTGCGAGTTTCTTTGTGTAGTGGAATTTCCACTCCATACAGCTGGATGCAGTACCTTGGATGTTCAAAAGCTTCAGGGGGGTAGCCCAGCTGCAGACTAACTGAAAAAACTTAAAAAACAACAAATAGTTTAGCAGTACCTTAAAGACTGTTTTGTGAGTCTTTAAGATGCTGCTAGACTATTCGTTGTTTTTAAAGTTTTTCCAGTTACAGACTAACTTGGCTACCCCTGTAAAGCAAAGAAAGGCTGTCTTTCTGAATTGGCAGACAAGAGCAACAGAATGAAATGAACAGAACAAAACTCAATTCTATTGCTGTCATTCAGAATTAGGTGACCAGAAACACATCAGGTTTATTCTGAAGTGCTTATCAGGAATGTTATAAGCAACTGAAAGCAGGCACTAGGATCAAGATTTTCAAAGGTGATTTTGGATGCCTAATTTAAAACATTTTAAAGTTGCCTGATTTTTCACTAGGCTGGCACTTAGCACAGTGGTTCTCAAATATTTGTACTGATGACCCCTTTCACATAGCTTGCCTATGAGTGCGACCCCTCCCCTGATGAACTGAAAACACCTTTTATATATTTAATACTATTATAAATTCTTGAGGCAAAACGAGGTTTGGAATGGAGGCTGAGAGCTCATGACTGCTCCTCCTCCCCCCCCCATGTAATAACCTCGCAACACCATGAGGGGCTCCAATCTCCAGTTTGAGAACCCCAGGCTTAGCCCTTTTTGAACCACCAATTGGAGCAGCTAGGAGTTTGGATGAAAAATGTAGAATCATAGAATCCTAGAACTGGAAGAAACCTCAAGAGATCATCAAGTCCAGTCCCCTGCCCTCACGGCAGGAACAAGCACCATTTAGATCATTCCTGATAGATGTTTATCCAACCTGCTCTTAAATATCTCCAGTGATGGAGACTCCACAACCTTGTAGGCAATTTATTCCAATGTTTAACCATCCTGACAGGCAGGAAGTTCTTTCCTAATGTCCAACCTAAACCTCCCTTGCTGCAATTTAAGTCCATTGCTTCTTGTCCTATCATCAGAGGCCAAGAACAATTTTTCTCTCTTCTCCTTGTAACACTCTTTTAGATGCTTGAAAATATCATGTCCCCTTCTCTGTCTTTTCTAAACTAAACAAGCCCAATTTTTTCAGTCTTCCCTCATAGGTCATGTTTTTCAAACCTTTAAAATTTTTGTTGCTCTTCTCTGGACCTCCTCCAATTTCTCCACATCTTTCTTGAAATGTGGTGTCCAGAACTGGACACAATACTTCAACTGAAGCCTAAACAGAGCAGAGTAAAGCTGAAGGATCTTGCCTTGCTCACAACACTCCTGTTAAGAGGAGGCTGATTGCTTTCAGATGAGAGAAAGCTTGGTGTGAAAGAATAGCTTCTTCTCCCTTCTAGCAACCAAAAAGGGAGTTGTTTCAGACACTAAATGAAGCTCCAAAATTAATCGCTGAGCAAGTTCTAGGAGCCACTACCCTGGCAGGAATGTCAGCATGAGACCTATCAGTGAAATTTCCCTCCAGGACATTGTTTCTCAACCTCACTAGGAGAGCCCTTCCTCAACTTACTTACTGACCTGCGGCTCTGCCAGAATGCATTGTTAACAGGACTTGAAAAACAATCAGGTTAAAAATCTAGAGAGTAGAAGGAATTAACAGTAATTACAGTAAAACTCCATTAGTCCGGCATCCAATGCTCCAGGACTCCTGATGGTCCGGCACCATCAGGAACCCGGAAGTGCTGGGGCAGCCGGACAGGCTTCCCCCATTCAGCTGCTGCTGAAACTGA